GGGGGGGGGGGGGGGGGGACGAAATAAAAGGCATTCATATTGGAAAAGAAGAAGTAAACCTATCTCTATTTGCTGATGGCACGCTCTTATATAGAGAAAATTCTAAGGAATCCACAAAGAAAGCATTAGAGCTAATAAACACGTCCGGCAAGCTTGCAAGATACTAGATCAACATACAAAAAGCAACTTACTGGGGCGCCTGGGTGGCGCAGTCGGTTAAGCGTCCGACTTCAGCCAGGTCACGATCTCGCGGTCCGTGGGTTCGAGCCCCGCATCGGGCTCTGGGCTGATGGCTCAGAGCCTGGAGCCTGTTTCCGATTCTGTGTCTCCCTCTCTCTCTGCTCCTCCCCCGTTCATGCTCTGTCTCTCTCTGTCCCAAAAATAAATAAACGTTGAAAAAAAAAATTAAAAAAAAAAAAAAAAGCAACTTACTTCCATACACGTGCTATGAAATTAAGAAACAACCATTTATAATAGCATCCAAAACAATGTTTGGGAATACATTTAGCAAAGGAAGTACAAGATTTCTACTCTGAAAACTCCAAAAGCATTGTTGAAAAAAGTTAAAGGAGACCTAGATAAAAGGAAAGATACATCAGCCTCATGGGCTGCAAAACTTAATATTGTTGAGATGGCAAGAATTCCCAAACTACCTGCAGATTCAACACAATTCCCATCCAGATGCCATCGGGCTTAGTGGCAGAAATTGACAAGCTAACCCTAAAATCCAGAAGGAAATTCGAGGGACCTTAAATAGCCAAAACAATCTTGAAAAAGAACAGAGTTGGAGTACTCAAGACTTCCCAGTTTCAATTTGACAAAGGTACCAAAACAATTCAGTGGAGAAAGTATAATATTTTCGAAACATGGCACTGGGACAATTGGATAACCACCTGCAAAAGAATAAAGCTGGACCTCCTACCTTACACGGGATTCAAAAATCAACCCATAATGCATCAAAGACCTACAGGTAAAAACTGAAGCTCTAAAACCCTTAGAAGAAAACAGAAGCACAAATCTGTGTGACCTTAAACAAAGCAACGATTTCTTAGCTATGACGCCGAAAGCACAAAGAACAAAAGGAAAAATAACCTGCCCCTCATCGAAACTAAAAACCTTTTTGCTGTAAAGGACGTCGTCAGGAAAGACGACCCACAGAATGGAAGAAAGTACTTGCAAATCATGAATCTATCTGATAAGGGACTTGTACCCGCAACATCTAAAGAAGTCTTACAACTCAATAATAGAAAGACAAATAATCCAGTGTAAAAAGTGGGCAAAGGATCCGAATAGGCATTTTTCCAAAGAAGATAAACACACGAAGAGATGCTGAACATCATCAGCCATCAGCAAAATACAAATCAAAACCACAATGAGATACCCTTTCACATCCATTAGGATACCTAATTTAAAAAAAAAAAAAAAAAAAAAAAAAAAAAAAAGGAAAAAGAGGGGCACCTGGGTGGCTCAGTCGGTTAAGCGTCCGACTCTCAGTTTCGGCTCAGGTCATGATCTCGTGATTTCATGAGTTCAGGCCCCGCATGGGGCTCTGCGCTGACGGTGCGGAGGCTGCTTGAGATTCTCTCTCTCCCTCTCTCTCTGCCCCTCCCCCGCTGGCACTGTCTCTGCGTCTCTCAAAATAAATAAATAAAACTTAAAGACTATTTTTTTAAAAAATTAAAGAAGGAAAAAGAAAGCGAAAAGAAAAATACATAATAACAAGTGTTCACAAGGGCATATAGGGAATTGGAAACATTATACTCTGCTTCTGGGATTATAAAAAGGCACAGCCACTTTGGAAAGTAGTCTGACATTTCTTCAAAACGTTACACATAGAGTAACTATATGACCTGGCAACTCAATTCCTGTGTGTGCCCAAGAGAAATGTTCACAGTGGCACTGTTCACAGTAGTCAAAAAGTGGAAACAACCCAAATACCCATCAACTGATGAATGGATAAATAAAATCTGGCCTTTCCGGACAATGGCTATCGTTCAGTAATCAAAATGAAGTATTAACACATGCCACAACATGGGGGAACCCCAAAATATGCAGAATGAAAGAAGCCACGGACACACACACACACACACACACCCCACATATTGTATGAGGCTATTTATGTAGAATATCCGGAATATACAAATCTGTAGGGACAGAAAGTAGATATCCTCTTGCCTAATCCTGGGTACAGTCTTTTGGGCCTGATGAAAATGTTCTAAAATTGACGGTGACAATATTTGCGCAACTCTATGAACGTACAGTTTAAATAGATAAATTGTAGAGTATGTGAATTGTACCTTAATAAAGCTGATGTGGATATACCATAATAATGATCTAAACCTAACAATACAATATAATACAATATAATAATAATAAACATATATTTTAGGTCTCCTTTGCAGCCCTCAAGTGGGATAGGCCCTTTCCCCAGGAAGGAGACTTGGGGGACACCCCAGCCCCCAGCACGTCCCCTCTGGGAGGAAGGGGACCCCAGCAGAGCAGAGGGAGGAGTGCCAGTCTGGAAGTCGGGGTCCTGCTCATCAACTCCAGGACTCAGGAGGTCACACAGCCTCTCTGGGCCCAGGGTCTCGAGGACTGTCCCCTCCTGGGGAGGTTGTGAGGACCAGGTGGAGAAGTCCATGCTGAGCAGAGAGAAGTACCTAGAACACAGTAAGCTCTCACGAGTTGCTCCTTCCTGGGATTACTCAGCTGGAAGACATGTAACCAGCCTGGACGTAGAAGTGCTGAGTCCAGGGTCAATGCTAGAGAAGACCAGCTCCCTGCCTTGTCCTTGGACGCCAACGGAGGCCTCGAGTCTCATGCCTGGTTGGGACCAGAGCTCCCCAAGTTCATGCAACTTCCTACCAGTCTTTCCTCCTAATGGCCCCATGGCCTCTAGGCTCCTGCCTTTTCCCACCGTCTCCCTCCTGCACCTTGTCAGTCCAGACATGGAACCTGGCCTTCTCACTACCAAAAGCAACCACCGCTGTGGGCACTGCACGGCCAACAGCCCCACGACACACAGAGGACACCCCTGGGCTTCAGAAGAACCCTGTGCAGCGCCCCCGGGGAGCCCCTTGCCCTTGCCCGGAAGGACTCCTCTCCCACCCCTCTCTTCTGGGCACCCCTGCCCTCCACGGCACTCCGTCGCACCTGACTTCCCCTCCCCTGTGCACAGCAGATGGTGGGCCCGTCCCTGACTCCCAGCTCTGCCGGGCCCACCAAGAGCCTCCTGGAGAGCAGGGCACCATAGCACATGAGTGTCCCTGCCCCAGAGGCCCCGCAAACCATACCCAACGCTATCAGCCAGCTGTGGCTCCAATACCCTGCCGTTCACTTTCATTCCTGACAGCGGGATTTATCAGACACCTGCTCTCCCCCAGGTGTTACTGGCCCTCCCTGTCTGCAGGGCTGTCTCTGGGCTGGGCTGCACAGGGACACGCAGGGACACATAGGACCGCTCTCTGCTGGGTGTTCCCAGCGAGAGCTGGGGTCTGCTCTGCTCCAGGAAAGCCACGTGGGGGCTTCTTTCGCTCCCACTCAGCTTTCAGGGTCTCATTGGCTCCGTCACCCCTCGCCAAGGGAGAGCGAAAGTGGCCGAGACCGTGCCCGGGGCTCCCCCGTGGACGCTGTCTCCATCACCCCAGGCGTCGTCCTCCTCCTCCCTCCTCGTGTGGCTGTGCGGTGGGGGCTGATTGAAAGCTGGTGCGTTGCCATGGCGACGTGGCCAAATCTGACCCCCACAGCTGAAGTCCTCCTCCCTGGGGTACCTCGCGTCCTGCTTCTCTCCCTCATTACTGCTGGGACTTTACTAAAATGACACAGGTTCAAACCCTTTCCAAACTGCTTCAGAGAAGTTTCACACTCTTCTGTAACCAGGTGTCTTTCAGACGTGAGATCCAGACCTGTGGTGGCTCGCCGTCAGAGCCGCCGGTCAAGGCGGTCTCGGGTTCACCCTCAGAACCGCTCGGAGGGACGCGCGTCACCGCTGGGAGTCCCGGCACCAGCCAGCTTCCTTCCGTTCGCACATCGGCCCTGCGTCCCATTCTGGGGGTCAAGGGGCTAGAAGATCGGTCAGGTGCTTCCTTCCTGCCCCCTTTCCAAGTCCCAATGCCAGATGTGGAGGAAAGGAAGGGTCTGGATTCAAACCACCCAGGCCAGGGAAAGCATCACGGCCTGGGCTCAGGACCAACTCAGAGCACCCTGTAATCCGGGCCTTGAGGCCGCTGTGACCCACACTTGCCGCGGTGCTTCCGAGAGTGAGTGTCCTCCCGTCCTGGATTCTGTCTCTGCGCGTGGCCTCATTTCCCCCTCTCTCCCCTTCTCCCAGATGGAACCTAAACGCCTGAAAAAGCAGCTTCCAAAAATCCTGAGACTCCTGAAACCGGATGACAGGATTCTGATCGTGGGGACCACACAGCGGCCTTTCGATGCGGAACTTCAATCCTTCTGCAAAGTTTACCAAAAAATTATTTTGGTTCCCAGACCAGACTATGCTTCCAGATTCGGCAAGTATCTCCAGCCCCTTCCCGGGCACCGGGACTGGGGCGGGGCCAGGGTGGGGGCCTGACCGGAAGGTGGGTGCCCCTTGAGGGGCCCTGGGACGCCCACAGAGCCTGGGCCGTAGATACAAACCGCCCGGTCACGAGGGCAAGACGTGCATGTCTCTTCTGTTGTTAACTTCGTCCTTTTTACCCAAGACAAAAGGAAACTGGACAGGGATACTTATTTTGGGCCCCGAAGGGGACAGAAGTCCTTGCGGGTGCTAACTTTTCTTTCAACAGGTAGATGAACACCGGTCGTCTTGGACCCACAGTGATGGCGTCTTTCTCAGAGAGCATTATTCTTTCCACAGATTGATTTTTGTTAAGTTTTCCAGGCTCAAAGTATTAGCCCAAGAGCCTGTTGACTTACTTGTAATAACCATTGACGTTAACAAGAGCTTTTCCAGTTTTTTCCTCTTGAATAGACAAATTCAAGATCTACTTGTATTGAGATATATTTCTAAATGGGAATAACACGAAACAAGTGCCCCCGGAGGCAGTGCAGGGAAACCGTAAAGGGCCACGGGATACGAGTTCTGAGGAGACCCGGTTCTGGGTCCCAGCTCTGCCACCGGATGGCCCGGTGACCTTGACGGCTCAGTTGACCTCCTGAGCCCCCACTGTTTCGTCTGTAAAGAGGACCGTTTAGTCTCCAGGACTGTCGTGACCCTTATCTGAGGGGACGGCAGAACACACAGCACTGTCCCAGCTCCCGCGAGAGCATGGGTGGTGCCGGGCATGAAGGGAGCAAAGATGGTGGCCGTGGTTATGGAGAAGGAGTACAGGACAGGGCAGCCAGTGGCCATGGTGGGGGTGCTGGTGTTTTCTGTTATCTACTGCTGTGTAACAAACCGCCCTAGTGGCTTAAGACAACAGATCATTCCATCCCATGGTTCAGAGGGTTCATGGGCTCAGCCATAAGGTTCCCCTTCAAGTATGTCGGGATGTTGCAGCCAGGTGTCAGTTTGGACTTCATCTGAAGACTCAACTGGGCTGGACAGCTATGGCCATTCACTCCTGTGGTTGGGGCCGATGCTGGCTGTTGACCGGGAGCTCAGCGGGGGCTGCCAACCAGATAGGGTATACACCTGGCCTTTTCGTGTGGCTTTGCACAGCACAGTGGCTGGGTCCCGAGAGAGAGCGTCCTGAGAGCAAACGTTTCCAGAGGTTCTGACAGAAGCTGGAAGGATTCTCGTGACTCAGCCTCAGAAGTCACACACGATCGCTTTCACCAGACTCTACCGGTCAAGAGGAAGTCCCAGGCCAGCCCAGATTCAAGGGCAGTGGACTGTACAAGGGTGTGAATAACGCGGTGTGGCCCGTTGAGGGGTCATCTTTACCCCTCATGGTGGTGGCAGTGATGGGCACGGTAGTAGATTTGGTATAGAGGTGGTGGTGGTGATGGAATGGACAAGAATGTGGGCACATGGGCACGTTCGGTGGTGATGGTGATGGTGATGGAATGTGCAGGAAATTGCTCCCAGTGGAGTAGTAATGGGGATGAGGCAGCGGCTATATGGTAACAGTTAAACGTCAAGAGAAGTAATGGAAAGGACCAGGTCAAACCTGGTTTCCATTCGTCCTTCCCCAGTCACAATGGCATCCCCAAAACACAGGGGCTCTGCAGGCCTTTCCGGTTGGTCTTGAGCTCCCGGCCCATGTTACCTGCTAAAGGACGACCTTCTAGCCCCCACACAGTATAAACTTCCAGCTTCTCGACCACTCCATGTGCCCTTTGTGTTCATTTCTATCTTGATAAACTGGGATCCTGGCTTCACACATCAATGTTATGCACAAAGTACAGGAGGACTTTGGTCTCGGTTCTTTCTTCATCATCTTCGTGGTATCTCCATCTTCTAGAGCCACCAGGCCCTCCACGGGGACCTTCGCGTTCAGCTAGCACAAAAGGAAAATAGAGAAGACACTAGAGAGTATCTCACAGGAGATTTTAGGGACGGGGCCCAGAAGGGCCAGCTGTCGTTTCACTCGTGTCACATCGGCCAGGATGACTCCCATGGCCCCGGTGAAGTTCAAGCGCACAGGGATGCGCGGCCCTGCCTGGAAAGACTCACACAGTGGGGTCGGTGCCAGCAGCACGTGAGTCAGCGCAGGGCGTCCCATCCTACTGACCTTCTCGGAACTTTCCCGCTCTCACTCTGGTTGGTCAGATCTCCTCTCCCGATTCCACAGACTTCTGGATGGTCGGTGTATATCTTAAGCCATTTGAATGGAATAAGGTAGGGTGTTATTAGTTTTAAGGCACCAGAGCATTATTCTTGACTTCAGATTGAATAGTTTCTACTGTTTGACAAAACCATAGGCCCTTTAAAAATGAAGCTCTTGGTGTTGTAACAAGGACAGTTGTGGGTTTTTTTTTTTTTTTTT